CCCTAGAAGCACAAATTACTTTAAAATCTGATACCAACCCTCCTAGCAAGCCACAGCCGACAAACCTGCCGACAAACGACCTCCCCTCCCCGCTCGCCCCGCTTACCCAGCGGAGGAGCCCGAGAGGAGCAATCCCCCTCCCTCCCCGCTGAACCGGGACTCGCACCGACAGCAGAGCCCGCAGAGCCCCCCGAGCCGTGGACACTAACAAAGGCAGGAGCCACGGCAGGAATGAAAACGACCCCCCGCAAACCCCCTCAGCCCCGGCAATGCAGCAACCCCCGCCCCCAGCCTTTCCCAGCACGGCAGACACGGCGGGACCCGGGGACGGACCGTGGGGGGAGAAAAACGTAGAGACGGCGGGAGCCGGGGAGAGACCCTGGGGGGAGAACAAAGAGACAGACGGCGGGACGATGTCCTGGGGCAGCCAAGATGGCGAAAAACAGAACAAAGAAACATTCAAACCGCGCGAAAACTTTTCTGAACTTTACAAAAAGGGAGGGGAGAGAGAGTGGGCGGTGGCAGACAGATTATACACGCCTCCTTCGTACACCCTGGAAAACTCCTCCTTCCTACGGGACATGAGTAACTCACCCCCAGAAGCTCCAACCTTCTCAAGTGACTCAGGGGGGGCTCCCTCCGCCCCTCCGTCACATGACACCGACAATCATGGCCGTGCCCATGAAACACCAGCGGCAACAGTTACTGCACCGATTCAACCTATAGATATTCCAGTCTCAGCTGCAATGCCTCTTGCATCATCAGACAGTTCTCAGTATCAAACACTGTTTCCTAGCCTGCCTCAAATGCAGACACCACTGCAAGCTAAATTCGAACAGCCTGCCTCCAAGAAGCAGACCTCTACAGAGACACAGAAAGAAACACCTGCAGCTGCTTCAACCACACAAACTGAAACAGTAAATAACAAAAACCAGACTACTCTTAAAAAGACAATTTCTGCATCTACCGAAAGCTTGAAAACAACCCCTTCAGAGAACCAAGCACCAAGTTCTGCATCTATAAAGCAAAGTGCAACATTTACCACAATTATTACAGTCACAGGTGCTGTCATACAAAGTAACACAGCACCCGACAACACCAAGCAAGCATCAGGACAATGGACAGATGTGACTCATCAACTTGTGGAAGCTCATGAGAGGATCCACTCACCCTTTCACACTATTGGGCCAATTCTACAACAGGAACAGTCCAAGATGGGTCCCCTCAAGAAGGATCAAACCCTTCCTAGAGGACTCCAGACCCTCCTGTTTCTCATCCTGTTTGTTCCACCGTAGACTGCCTCAACCTACTCAGTTCCAGACTGGATGCAGCGACCAGCAGAAAAAGCCAAAGCCACCAACACTGATACAATGTGCCTTTCCCTCGACAGTGTGAGTCATCCATTTAAAAGCTGTCTCGTGGGTATTCCTGATTGGAACGGGTTTATCCAAAACACTTCCCTCGTAGATAATCTCCTTCCTTCTCCAAACACTATTTCCCAAACCCTCCTACGTTTAGGTACCCTAGATACAAATCCCCAAGAATTAGAACTTTTAGGCTCATCTGTAACTACCATTTGCCTTAGATTCAAACCTACTACTAATCGCCTTAACCTAAAACCTAACCTATCCCCCATCTCCTCCATCTATACTAACACCACCGCATGGTGCAATAACTCCAAACCTTACCCTCTTCCCACTAAACTTTTCTCTCAACCCACTAAACTGCCTTCCACCTTCCTTCCCACATGGCCTGCTGGATGGCCAAAGAAACCAATGCCACTTCTCTTGCCATTCAGAGCCTGCTAGCAGAAAATCAAAGAATTCTAATTATCACTTTCTCCATCCTTGTCTTCCTTCCCTGTCTAATTTTTTTTATTAAAAAATCCATGACTAAAAGTTTTTCCCAAGCTTTCCCAGTTCTCAAAAACAGAAAAGGGGGAGATGTCGGGAGTGGACCAGCAGAGGCCTACAGAGAATGGAGACAGATACAGAAAGGCTACGAAGAAACCTCGGAGGAAGAAATTGATCTAGAGGTACTTTGACAGCTGCAACTGCAGGAAGCGCCTGAGATCCAGCGATAAGACGCCGCTTCCACAGACCCCTGCAGAATTCCCCTATCTGTGCCCCTCACCATTCCTTCCCTTCCTTCCCTAACTCCCAAATCTCCCTATATGGCTGGACATATCCCTGCAGCCAATCCCTCCATTTTCCCTTATCTCTGACCCTTAGGATTCGTGCCCCTGGCAAGAATCCCACCCTTGTTCGAGACCCTTCGATGTACCTCTCTATATAAACTGACACCTTGTTTTAATAAAGAGCCATTTTGTGAGTCACCTATCTGGGGGCTCGTCTCCTATGCAAGATGTGCGCGAGGGTCTATCGCGGGGACAAACCCCACCCGCGATAAGCCACCAGTCAGGATCTCCCCTGACCATCTCCAGCATGCTCCTGGCCAGCTGCTGATTGTAGGTTGATGAGTAGGGGGACACTGAAATGGTTGTGAGGATGATGTCTGTCCTCTCAGAAGTCCCAGGTGTTTCCCAAAGGCTTGTGTCAGGAAGGAAGGCAGCCCCGCTGATTCTGGGCCCCTTGGCTAACACCCATCCCCTGAAGATGCCAAGTCCCAGCAAGGGGCCAGCTCAATACCTCCAGGAAGTCCCTGGCACTGGGTGAACGCAGCAAGGAGGGGATCGGAGCTTCTCAGAATGTTTGGAGTTGTGCATTCCCCTCTGGCAGTGTCGCGCCTAAAGAGCGGGGAAACACGGAGGCGTTGGGGAGGCACAGCAGCTGTGCCAGCTGCCACCAAACCCTGAAAGCCTTGGGAAGTAGGAATATCTGAGGAGGAGGTGGTTAGAACAGGAGGGAGTGGGCAGTGGATTAAAGGGTGACCAGTACTCCTGGCCCAGGAAGCTCCAAGGACCTGGAGCTGGGCATGCAGCCCCAATGACACCGTGGTGAGGGGGGGACGGCTCCCATGGCTGGCGTGCTGCAGGGCAAAGACATGACCTGTTCAGGGCAGATGAGGCAGCTCAGCTCCACAGGAGAGAGCGTGTAGGGCAGAAGCAGAGGAGAGGTAGGGCTGGTGATGTGGCAATGCCTGCGCAAGCCCAACAAGGGTCCATTGCAACAGCCCAGAAGACAAGCAAACCCATCAGGGGATGTTGCTGGGGGGAGGGATGCAGCCGCCACAGCTTCTCTTACATTTTTGCTGACAGACGAATTTAAAGAGGGTGCAGAGAGCATCCAGAGCCACAGGGCTGATCTTTTCTTCCTCAGATGACATGAGGCTGAGACATCCTACCAGCTTTCCAAAAACTGGCATCTCCATCTGCGCGTACAGCAGAAAAGCTGAAGGACTGAGGGCAGACAGCTGGGGCCAAAGCCCTTTGAGCCACAGTGTACCAAGGGCAGGACGGAGGTGGGCCAGAGTCTCCCAGAGCACCTGGATGGGCAGTAGCCCCGGCAGGGAGAGCTGCCTGGGCTCTGTCCATGGTGCTTGGGCAGTCCTGTCCCACACAGGGCTGGGGGCAGAGCTGGCTCCTGGCAGAGAGGTCCAGTGGAAAGAGAGGAACCAAGAGCCCTCAGTGCAGAGGCTGGTGAGCCCCCAGAGTTGTGCCCAGCCTGCTCTTGCACGCACCTTGGATCCGCAGCCGTACCGGGGCGCAGGGACGGGGACATGACCTGGCTGGAGGGTGCCCGGTCCTTACCTGCAGAGTGGAGCAGCTGGCCAGCAAATGGCTCAGGATGCAAGTCCTGTCCCAGAGTCAGTGAAGGCCAGCAGCACCTGGGCAGAGAGAAGCTGCGGGTGAGCCCTGGGAACAGACCCCTGCTCTTGCAGCAGCAGCAGCAGTAGCGCGGCTCCGCTCCTGGGCCGGACTCGCACCGCCCCTCAAGGCTTCTTCCGACCTCGAGCAAAGCCTCGGGGGCTCCTGCCCCTGGGGTCTCTCGTGGGCCTGGGACAATGGGCAGCCACTGTGCTGCAGAAGGGCCTGGTGCCAGCCCCTGCTTCCCCAGGGCAGGTGGGCACCCTCTCCACAGCTTGCTCTGCCTGCACGGCTCTGGTCTAGGGACCACCTGCCAGGGTGAGGAACAGCCCTGAGACCCCCACTCTGTGTGCAGGCCAGACCTCCTCTCTCACCTGCAGCACCTCGTTGACTCTGAAGGCAGGGCAGTTGAGCACCCTTGCCTCCAGAATGGTGTCCATGGCTCTCAGTGTCTGCAAGGAGGACAGAGAGCTGTGGCAGCCCTTCTGCTGGCCCCCCACCCCGGGGCACTGATCTAACCCGACAGGGCAGGACGCCCACACTGCCCGTGACACCCAGGGCCAGGCAGTGGGCACAGCAGCATGTCGATGGGCCCCAGAAAAGGGACAGAGGGTGAGGGTAGGAAAGCAAAGTGAGACCCTGCCCTGCCTTGGATCTCTGCTCATGGGGCAGCACAGGAGCAGCCCAGATGGACTGGGGACTCTGGCAACTCACCCAGCACTTACCTGAGTGTACAGAAAAGCCTCCATGCTCAACATTTCCCCTTCTGGAGGAAGGCAAAAGACACTCCAGAGGCAAGAGATTAGGAGGCCTCTGTTGCCCTGCAGCACTGAGGCCACAGAGCTGCAAAGAGAGAGAAGGCACAGTTGGACACTGGTGCTGGGAGCAGCACCTCGAGGCCTCGTGCAGGTGGGCACAGAGTGCTGGGGCAGGGGTCCCCAGGAGTGATGGCCAGGTGGGCACAGAGTGCCGGGCAGGGGTCTCTGGGATCCATGGGCAGGTACCTCAGTCCCACCAGGGTGATCATGGCGAGCTGCCGCACCCTTGTGTGGATCTGGGTCCTGGGCTCCTCATCCAGCAGCACCTGCCAATCACAGCTTCACTGGGACCTGGCAGTGCCAGCACCTGGTGCCCCCAGCCCCTCACCCTGCTCAAGCACTGCCCTCACAGGTGCTGGTGCCAGGGAGCATTGCCCCCTTTCCCAGAGCTCCAGGTGTCCCCTTACCTTGATCCTCTACACCAGCTCATGTCTGTGCCACAAGATATCCAGGCACCAGCCACCGTCCCCGGCAGTTCTGCTCAGGGTGCAGATGCTCTCCAGAAACTGCAGCTTGTGCTCCTTGTCCTGCAGCTGGGGGACAGACACAAGCAGGCAGCGTGAGGAGCGCTCCCGCGACCAATGGAACCAGAGCCCTGGGGTGCAGTGCCCTGTGGGAGCAGCAGCTCTGCCCAGCCAGCACCTGCCCAGGCACAGCCACCGTCCAACTGGCTGTGGTTACCTGGTTGGGGTTGTTGGCCTGCAAGAAATCCAAGGCTTCCTGTTCCTCTCTGGACAGAGGTAACCAGCTGGCATCTAAAGGAGGGCAGAGAAGGGAGGCCTGAACAGGGTGCGGTCACAGGGGAAAGCAGAGGAAGATCTGCCCTCTGCCCAGCCCCATGCCCGCTACCCTGGCACAGCCTTCCCCTGGGCTCCTGGCTGGAGGGTGCCAGCAGAGGAGCTGCCAGGCTGGGGCACGGCTTGGAGGGGAAAGTCTCAGTGCCCCAGGCTGAGGAACTATGGACAGACAGACAGCAAAGGTCCAGTGTCCCACAGCATTGCTGCCTTTGGCCAGCCCAGAGCAGGAGCTGGGGCCTTTCTGCCCTCACCCTCCTTGGGAGAGGCTGTGCTGGGGCTGCTGTCCAGCCCTGAGCAGCCCCAGCATTCAGGTATCACTCCCAGGCCCCTTGTTGCCAGCTGCCTGTGTGCTGGGGAAAGGTGATCCTGGTGTCACACAGGGTGTGCTGGGGGCCCCAGCCCCACCCAGTCCAACAGGGCCCCTCACTCACCTGTCTGCAGGGGCTGCACCATGGTCACCACTGAAGGGCTGCTCTCCTGGGGAGCCCTGTCCTCCTCCCAGGGAGGTCTCTTCTCCATCCTGTGGGTGAAACAAACAGGCTGGAAGTGGGCAAGGGGAAAACTTTGGGGAAACACCCCAGCAGCACAAGGCAGAGAAGCAGGGAAAATTGAGCTGTGCTCAGAGGCTCCTCGCCAGCTCCGTGCTCCCATCCTATCCCATCGCTGTCCTGCAGGACACTGACCACACCTGCAGCAGTGGGTGTCACAAAAGGCCCCCTGTTGCTGTCCTGCATGACACTGACCCCAATGGCAGCACAGCCCCTGAGCACTGTGAGGACAGCACAGGATCCAGATCCAAATGGGAATGACTGGCCCTGGAAGAAAGGTGGGTCACAATGTGGACAAAATATCTCTAGGAGGGATGAGCATTGGAGTGCTGCTGAGAGGGGTAGGACACTTGGAACTTGGTCTTTGAGTAGCTTAGTACATAGTGAAGGAATTTATATTTTAAACATAGTTATACTTTCCTGATTATACTTTCTACTCTTGGAATTCTCACAGTGGAAAAGGCAATTTCTGCTGGACACCCATCATTTTATTTGCCTAGTGGATATTATCTGAGCTTACAACTCTTACCCTAAACTGGGTTTACTATTGTAAAAAGGACTGATGTTTTTTCTCTCTTTTCTACTGGAAAAGCCCTGAGGGCATGTCACCTGACCTTGTATGGTTAATTAAATTGGCAGCACCTTGATGGTGCTGTTCTCTTACTAAATCACCATTAAAGCTAAACTCATATCACGGATTAACAGGAATTTAAAATGCAACTTCACAAGTTAAAAAACCAGTGAGATGCTACAACTATGTTCCTTGCATTTGCTGCATGTTTTCTGGAACAGTATTTTCTGTACCTTTTCTGTGAAAGGTTGAATACTGGGGGATCTGAGCTGTAAACCAACTGGGTCAGAAGAAATTCCTGTTTCCAAGTTGTTTCTAATTTCCAGTTTCCCACTCCCTCATAACTGTCAATCTGGTGGGGTTTTTTTCTGTGGGGATATTTTGTTCATCATTTCAGTAAGAAAAATTGCTGCTAACTGGGAGGAGGGAGAGCATTTGATACTTCAGAGATTTTAATCTTCCTGACCTTCATACTGTGGAAGGTTTCATTAGGAAGACTGGGCTCTGATAGGAGAGCTGCTATCGGATCACGGGAGGTGATCCTTCCCCTCTGCTCGGCACTCATGGGATCACAGCTGGAGTTCTGTGTCCTAGTTCTGGGCTCGGTCGTACAAGGACATAATGGATTGATCTACAAAGGGACTCAAAAGGTTATTAAGGGTTTTCAGCACCTGACGTGCATATGAGGAGAGGTGCTGACAGTGCTCAGACTGGAAAAGAGAAGGCTGGTAAGAGGAATATAAAAATGTAATTCTGAAGCTCCTTCAAACTGATGACTCATTAAAATATTGACTACAAATATGATTGAGTTTGACTTGGGAGAGTATTTACTTTAAGCTGTGGCAGTAATTCCATTCTTTTCCATGTTTCTCTTCTTTGGTAACAATTTTCTTGCTTTCAGGAGAAAGTTTACTCCTCTTAGTTACAAGCCAATTTTTTTCCATTTTTGAGGTTAAAAAAAAAGAAGAGCTAAGCTTACAAAACCATATAAAAATATATCAGCCTCAAATGGGGCCCTTTCAACTCTTTCAATCAGTTATATTATAGTAAGGAAAGATATTTTTATCTCTTCCTAGCAATTCCCTAAAATGGTTGATTAAGTAGTATGCAGATTAAAGAAAGAAAAAAGATATATTAGAGGTAGTATGACACTGTGTGCAGCAAAACTAAGTTTGAGTGAAATTCTTTTTCAGTTCCTTCAGCTATATCCTCATCTGAGCATTAATCAGCACAGCTCTATTGATGGCATTTCTTTAATTTCCCATGGATATTTCCTGTCCTTCAGAAGTTCCTCTGAATCCTTATTATTTTGGGGGTATGTATGCATGTGGTGTGAAAATCCTGTCTGGCTAGGCAAGACAGGCAAGAAGTCTCTCTGCCCCATTCTATTCAAGTTTCAAATCTGAACAGTAATTTTGAATTTCTTTTTCTGTGGGTAATTCCCCCTCCTCTCCCTTTCTTGGAGCTCAGACTTTTGAATAAAAGATAAAGTTTTGAAGTTCAACTGCTCTGGTGAGGTCTGTTAGCACTTACTCCTAAAATGCCTTTTACAATTGCTGGGAAAGAATCCTACCCACAGCTTCAGAAATTTCGGAAAGGTCTCGCACTCTGTCAGTCCGTGACGTGCTGCCAGCAATTCCTGGCATGTGCTGCATGTGCTGTGCTGACATAACCAACGGGGAGCTCTTTGATCAATCAGGGGGGAAAAAAACAGATTCTCTGAGTGAAGAAAGAATAATTGAGGATATGGAATACAAAGTCTGCATTAACCCCTAGATTTTTAAATTTCCATTTCTACTTTACAGCGAGTAGAAAGAGCGGACATTAAAACACATGCACTTTAAAATGTAGAGCAGTTATATTATGACATCCTTTCAATAGCTTTACATAAAATCCCTTCCTAGTTATGGTATTTTAAAAATTTTTGAGGTATTCATGACACACTCCAAGGTGGTAGGAAGTAGCAGGGTATGTTCAGCACCTGGGGTAGAGGAAATATTATTGAGGAAAATAATCTAATGAACAGACAAGTTATGTAGTTCACCTGTGCTCAGGGCATTGACCATGCATCCATATAATCTCTCATTCAGAAGACTGCAAAATGTGTGCTTTATCATCACATGCATTGCAAAATCCTGACAGTCTGGTATATTGTATATTCCTTACTGGATGTCTCCTATTATCTGATGCCTAGAAATAACACCTTGAATCAATTCAAAACATCTTTTCATAGCATCTTTAAGCATAAGTGCTTTGTTGGATCGGGAGCCAGATAACGTTTGTTAAGGACAAGCTCTCAAATTTTCACACACTAGAGAGAGAACGTGAAAAGAAAATGGGCAGACATCTTTTTCTGTTTCATTTGCAGATATAGCAGTTGAGACTGGAGAAAAATAGTTCCTAAAGAACACCACTGCATCAAACAATCTGTAAGTATGAAAAAGAAGCAGTAGGAGAAACTCTGATAACAGATTAAGTGTCTTGTTCTAGAAAATAGCTGGAGAGGGCTTGAGAACCTTAGAGTGCCAGTGAGGGGGCAGAAGTGTATGCACATTTTAGGAGAAGAGAATTTTTCATCTCAAATAAATTAACCTCAAGTCTTCATTGTGAGGTGGCTTGGTTTTGGAAATGCTGAACTCTCTCGTGTTTGTGTAAATGGAAGAAACTGAGTAGAGCTGGGGCGGGGGGGGAATGAAAAAGTTATAAAGAGTTTTACAGGCATAAAGTACATCTGTAAATTGCATTATTTTCCAAAGAAATATAGGAGATCATTATTGCAAAATGATTAGGATGACCTTGCCAACGAGCTCAGGGAGAGCTGTGGTATTCTGAACGTCTCTGCAGGACGTGAAGTGAACAGGATTAACGTGCTGAGTGTGAAGGAGGTGGTTTTGTATCTTGCTGAACTGGGATCTAAAATGGTGCCCACCTGTCAATGGCCCTGTTGTTGTGTCAGTCCAGCTTCAGAGAGTGGAAGCAGGAGACTCTGCAGGGCACAGATTTTTGAAATGGGAATCAGAGGTGCACCACACCATCTGCTCTGGTGTTCACTGTCTTGGACCACACCCCACTGACAGCCCTTCCCATGGGTCAGGCTTGTGCTGCACCCAGACCAAGGCATTTGTACTCGAGCTGTGAGAAGTGGTGCTACACCCAAACAAACTTCAGACTTGATTTCAGAAGGGAATATTAAACGGGGCCCCCTTTATATGACATTTGCAAGACGAGTACTACTTATAGGCTACCCACATTTTGAGAAGGATGAGATTTCATTTAAAATAGGAGAAATGTGGCTCCAAGTTAAGCTGTGACTGGATCAGGGAGCATTAGTTGTATTCACTGAGGAATGATTGTTATCATAGGAGGCAACTATTCGATGTGTTAGGTACAACAGAAGCCAGTCTCTGGAAACTGAGATGACAGAGAAGCAAAGTGCAAATTTTAACCTGTAATCAACCCTTGAACAGCACACCCATAGACAGGGGGGATTCTCTGTTCAGTCACTCCTTAAGCCAAGGCTGAATACCTTTGAGACACAGTGTAAGTCAGAAACTGTGGACCTGATGCCAAATTTGCTGATGAGTGTTAGAGGAGGTCAGACCATGTGGTTGTCCCTCTAGATCTTAAAACCTCTGAGTTGGAGGCACATCTTAATACTTATTACTATGAAATGTTCTGCTAGTCCAGAAAAACATTCTGAAAGGTTGTTGCTCAAATCTGATCTCTTTGTATTTAAGTAAAATACAATTGGAGGGATCAAGAAGTCTCTAGACATCACAATGAGGATGTGACCCTATCATGTGGCACACTTAGTACATGCAGTAAAAGAGAGCTTTGGGGATTAAGAATTGTTCAGTAGAAATTGAAAGGAATCTTAAGGCAATCACTGAGATTTTGATACAGCTCCAGAATGAATTCAAAAGCTATTTTTAATGACCACAGGGACTAGTCATCTCTGAGGGAAGGAAGAATGGTAGTCTGGAGAATAGACATGATGAGATTGGTAGATTCTTTTTAATTAAAATACTCCAACTGAGAAAATTCATCAATAAATGTGACGAGCAAATATTTAACCTTTAGGTTTGGTTTGTGTTCACATTCCAAACAAATATAGTTAGAGATACTTAAACATTTGTGATTGTTGAACACATTTACAGAGTAATTATATTTAATATCTGGAAATTCAAAAACCACTTTCCATATTCCATGTGTTATATGCCCTTTTATATTAATGTTTTCTAAATGTCATGTTGACTAGCATATTAAATTCCAGCTTCTTTCTAAGGTAACTGAGGTAGTTGCTTTACAAGATAATTTTCTCAGCTGTAATATCTTCTTGCATATAAATATATTGTTGGCATTTCCATATTGCATTTTCCAGTAGGCCAACAGATTAAGGTGTTACTAAACCACGATTCAGCAAGGCTTTAACTGCAGCTATCCTTTTGCATTTCAAACTGTCCGTTTGTCTCTCCTGTGATTTCCCCTCTGTACAGGATTACCTTTGTTCAACATGAATCGTGCGAGTCAGTGATTAACAAGACCATGGCTAATGTGGCTTCACTGCATTATGCAATTTTGATATTGCACTTCATTTCACCAATGGGAGGAAAAGAAAAAAAAAGAAAGGAAGGAAAGTTTCTAAAACTGACTTGCTCATCTGAACTCCCCACAGGGTCTTGGTGCTTGGAGCCCTTTCACCTGGGCAGGCTGTCCTGGCTGGGCAAAGGAATGTCAGTGGTCCTGATGAGCTGTGCCCACGGTGAACATCAATATTGCACTGGCAATCCCTCTGCGTGGGGAGAGGATGTCGTGTCCTGCATCCCTTTGGGTCTGCCTGGAGCCCTTGGAAGGGCACCTGTGCTCACCGGCGCTTCCCCAGCAGGAGGGAGAGCTGATTTTCGGTGAAGGTGGCAGAGCACTGAACAGGTGCCCAGGGAGGGTGTGGAGTCTCCTCTCTGCATACATTCCAAACCCACCTGGACGCGTTCCTGTGTCACCTGCTCCAGGTGACCCTGCTTGGCAGAGGGTTGAACTGGATGATCTCCACAAGTCCCTTCCAGCCCCGACAATTCCGTGATTCTGTGAAACCGAATCCCTGAGCCCTTTGGCCAGGAGCAGGGATGCAGGAGAGCAGATTTATGTAAAACCCGACAACAAAACAATGGATTTTACTTGGTAACCGCCCCGTTTAGCAAACGGTGAGATTTGCTGCAGGCTCCCTCTGCAGTGTTGGCGCCTTTCTCGCTGCCTCCCAGCTCAGAGCACGCACCCCTGGCCAGAGCCAGACTGACCCCACCGGCGGCCGAGCGGCCCCCGGGGAACTGAAGGGGAAGCGCTCGGGGCTCGGCGTTCGAAAGGAGGGCGGACACCGAAGGGCCCGGGGGCGATGTGGGGAACAGCAGGAGCGACCCCGAGCCCGGGCCAGGGCCGGGGGGTAGCGCGGCCCGACCCCCGCTCCGGCCGCGGCCGCCAGAGGGCCGAGCGGGCAGGGCCGAGCGCGGCCGGGCCGGGCTGAGGGGCGGGGGCGGCCGGAGCGGCGGGGCCGCTGACGGGACGCGGGCGGGCTGAGGGGCCGCGGGTGGCAGTGAGGGGTGACGGGCGGCCGTGGCGGCGGGCAGGGCCATCCGGATCCCCACGCGGCTGCCGCTGCTCCCGAGCCACGAGCGCGTCCCGCTGCCCGGCTCCGCCGTGCGCTCCAGCGCGGACTCCCCGCGCAACGCGCGGCTGGAGCGGGGCCGGGGCTGAAGGGCCCTGCGCTGCGGAGCGACCCAAAGAAATCCTCCTACTGTGTGCAAAGCACACTTTTATTGCGGCCGGGGAGATGCAGAGGTTTTTGCCCCACCCCGTGTATTCCACCCACTAAGGAAACAAAACAGCTTTTTACACATTTGAAGGAGTGAGTTTCAAAATTATCTATCACGTACACTCTTTACAAAGTCTGCCTTATCTAAATAGACATTTGGTTACCTAACTCCTATTCTTACTACCATAGAGTAGTTACCTAAAGTTTTATCGCTTCAAACAGCTTAGGTTTCCCCCACCCCTCTTTTGTCTCCCTTGCAATCCTACATGCTGGAAGTCTTTCTGCTTTCCCTGACAGTCCCTTTTGTTTAGGTAAGCTAGCTTTATCTTAATTGCCCACAGTTAGGGCAGCAACCTTCTTTCAAGCAGTTACAATTTTGCAAAGTCACACTTAACATAGGTAAATTTTACTAACATAACTAAATTTTAATTGTATTTTATCTTGTCTTCATTTCACAACAATCCAGAAAACCCCCCAAGTTTAATCAATACCAGGAAGAGGCAAATGAGTAGGGAATGTACATTTTCACTTCCACGAGCACATGGATAAACATCTGCTGAGACCACACTTAGAAACATCCAGGAAAAGCCAGTAGTTGAGGAAATCAAATTTAGAGTAGATCTTACAAACAATACTTTTAGTGATACAGTGGTGTGTTCATATTACCACCCAAAGATACTTTTCTTGATATTGGAGCAACATTCAATTACAGAGGTGATACCATGGGACTGGCCAGTCATCTGTGGTCTCTGATTATGAGAGCACCTACACTCAGATCCCAAAGGTAAGAAAAGAGTTTTGATGTACCCTAAGGAGGAATAAACTGCTTGGCATCAAAAACCCCATAAAATCCCACAGCCAGTGGCTTATCTCCTCTTCTGGCATGCACCATGTTCCACACCAAGTCCAGCAGCACGGATTGTGTCACAGCACATCTACAGAAAACACAGTTACAGCTCTACCACTAGAATAAGTTCTCAATAGATTTCACTGTTAAGGGAGAAAAGCCCCTTAACCACATTACATCTCTAGCCTGCTTCCACTGATCAGGTCTGGTTTGCTCCCTTGGCAAAGCCAAACAGGCATTCACTGATCTCCTCTTCAGGGAAATACCCAAAACCCACTGCCTGGGGTTTTGTTTTAAAAATTAACTTATTCATCAATCAACTAACTACACCAAATCTAATGAGGGTGCAGATCTCACATCTTCAGGTTACCAGAAATCCTCCAACAGATACAGTGCAGTTCCCCAAGTTTCCCTTCCTTTATTCTCTTGCTTCCCAGGAAGAACACATAACAGCATCTCTGTGAGGCTCAGATCTCTGTGCCATCAGGACCACTTGCAGTTCATCAGCTCCAGAGAACCCAAACTTCTTCCACCCCTCCTTTCCCCACCCTTCAGCTCTTACTGCTTTGAAAAGGAAGCGGGTGGTAAGAAATAAACTTTGTAAGTCACAGTTTGCATCACTCTGCCACACCACTGTCGCTTAAAATAAATCATCCCCACCCTGAGATGTCTGCTAATTTTTTCCTTTCTCAGGGTTCTGTAGTCACAGGCCCAGATCCTCCCCTGGGGAAATTTGAAAGGATACCATTGATGCCCAAAAAAAGGCAGCTTTAAAAAAAAAACTGCTTAAAGGTAGAATTTTGAGCCTATAAACAGCAGGTATTTATTGAATGATTAACGACACCGGGGTAGCTTCCAGCTCAGGCTGGACAAAAAAGCTCCGAAGTGGTTCAGTAAAAACAAGCAATTTATACAGTTTCTAATCATGATTACAACATAATCACATGCATATTCATATTATTGCATCATTAGATTACAATATTCATAGCAGGTGGAGTCGGGGTGGAGACTGAGGCGTGATCTCTATTTTGAGGAATATTATGGTGGGAGTTCCTGCCTGCCTTCATCCTGGGGTCTGCATTTTACTCATCTTCCTCGGGTGACATCCGTGACCTTTTGTTCTATCCATTGTTCTCGTGTCCTGATCGTCCAGGCTTGAAGAGACCTTTGGCTCTAGGCCTACTTTACCTATTCAAATGTCTACCTTGGCTCCTCTGGATGAGATTTATGTGTGTTGAGTTCTTTGTCTAGTGTTTGTTGTGGTTCCTTTAAGGTCTAATGCTCTTAATACAGAACATAGCCTTCTTGTAAAAGTACAACTTACATTAAACGAAATACAGGGGGTAAGGGGGGCTCTTGTGGGTTTACAGTCAAAGTGTTTCGATTAACCCTTCCTGCTTCACCATTTAGTGCAAACCTACCAGGTTTTCCCTGTCAGCCAAAAAGAACTTCAGCTTTTTCAGTCTTCTGCTCCAGATCATCCATCTTTCAGATTCACAAATTCAGACTGAAGTTTGCCAAGAGCATACAGTGCCAGGACAAGTGGGAATGGCTTTAAACTGAGATTCAGATTGAGGTTCAGATTGGACATTAGGAAGAAATTCTTCCCTGTAAGGATGGTGAGGCCCTGGCACAGGTTGCACAGAGGTGTGGACACCCATCTGTGGAGGTGTCCAAGGCCTTGTTGCACAGGGCTCAGAGGAACATGGTCTAGTGGAAGGCGTCCCTCGCTGCCCATGGCAGGGAGTTGAAACGAGATGGTCTTTAAGGTCCCTGCTAAACCCAAACTATTCCATGATTCCATGGTAATTCTGTCTTTGCAGGTACAGGCAGAACCCAAGCCTGCTCTTTACAGGCTTCCCCCTTCCCCTGCCCCTCTACAAAACACAACAGGCCACAAGTAGTGAAAGGACACGGAGAGCCAAAGGGAGACATTTGTACCAACCTCAGTGGAACTCTTTGGGAAGCACTTTCCTCGAGGAGCAAGTCCCTTGCCTCCAGAGGCAATTACTTAAACCTGTAGTTTACTTGGGGAACACCAACACACACTCAAGAAACGCTGGCAAGGCTGAATTCCTTGTGTTCCTTGTAGAACAGGCACTACAGCTCCAAGTGTGTTTCCAGGTGTAGGTTCAGACTCCCAGCCCCAGGCCCTCTGCAGACACAGCCTGGCTGCTGCCATCTTCTGATCCCTGAACTCCTGCCTTCAGGCCCGGCAGCAAACCCCGACACCAGATCCCTGTTCCCGCAGGGTGCTCTAGTGAGCAACGTCCAGGACTCTCTGCTGTGCACGGAGCATTTTTCCTGCCTGCTCTGAACAGCCTCTGGGCACAAGAGCACAACCTGGGTGGCTCTGGTGTCAGCAGACCCCAGATGCAGGTGGAGGAAGAAGCGGTGGCTGTTCTGCAGCAATGTCCAAGACAGACTGGAACGGTCCCCTCCCTCTGGCCTCCTTTGGTTTGATTTCTGACTGTGTCGGATGCAGAGGCTGCAATTCCTGAACTCTGGGGACCAGACCTGGCCACAGTCTCCAGGCACTGCCTGGCAGCGCTCCCTAAGGTGGGATGGGCACGTGTCTGTGTCTCAGGCAGTGTGTGCTGCTTCTTCCTTTGCTTCCAAGCACACTCAAAACTTGCTCTTAAGCCAGGGTGGTCGTGGGTTCTGCCTTTGTTTTCCCATTTGCTCATAAACTGGGCCATCTTCACAGCAGACCCCAAAGGACTGACTTCCCTCCATCCTGGAAGCTGAGCCATATGAGGCTCTACTTCAACTTCTGCTGCTTCTTCCTTCCCTTCCAGAAAGGCCTGGATTTAGAGTTCAGAAGCCCATGCATGTGTTTTTGAGGTGCCTGCATGGAGGAGAGGTTCAGCAGCTGCACCCCAAGGCTCATGTCCCATCCCAGTCTCTAAGAATGGCAGCAGTGCCACCGCTGTGGGACGCCTGAGTGTGGCAGGTGAGTCTGCCCTCAGGCACAGTCGTGGAAGTCAGTCAGGATGACAGGCTGCCCCTGAAGCTGCCAAGCGCTGCTGTGAGGCTGGGCAGTCAATAGAAAGCCCTTGTGGCCACTTTTCCTGAAGCCTTTGGCCAAAGCCCATGCAATTGTGCCCACAGCATCCCCACTTTTGGCATCCTGGCTGGTGTGGGTGCCTGGCTGAGGAGGCGCAGGCGCTGTGGGTGCTGCTCTCCTGTGCACAGCCTGCTGCTGGGGGCTGTGGCGCGGAGCCGCTCAGACAGCAGCGCCCCGTCCCCCCAGGGTCTCCCCCAGCCCCGCCAACCTGCCCGGCAGCGGCGCAGCCCTGAAGGAGCTCCACAGGAGCCGGCTCCGCAGGCACCTCCCAGCCCTCAGCAATCCACACAGCAGCACACGGGCAGGCCACACGTGCTGCTTCCTGGCTGGGACAGGCCGTGTGGCCACCTCCAAGCACCAGCTTCTCAGGGATCCCCACAGCTCCAGGTTCTGCCCATCCGCTCTGCTGCAAGCGTTGAGGCTCCAGCAGAACCCCCCAAGGCCAAGGGCCTTTGGGGCACTTCGCCCTCCCCACTGCACACCTGGGCAAGTCTTGCTGAGCACAAGGGCCCTTCTTCCCCTCTTCCCCTCTATGGACACCAGGCACTCAAAAAAACTTCGAGTCTCTGTCTTTGATAAGATGTAGAGATGTATTTGATATTCCCTCGCTGGTGTAAAAGGCAGTCCTTGCAGAGAAGAGCCATTTTCCTCTCCATAGCCACTCTTGGAGCTGCTGCAATCTGGAGTAGGGAACTGTCTGTCCAGTTCTTATCATGTACAGTTTGGAACTGACAGGCCTGCAATGCTGACTCTGATGTCCTTGCTCGTTCCTCAGGGCTGGAACAGAGAGGAACGTAGGCTATCGCAATCTGGTGGATTTAGATTGCGGTTTCAGTGCGGGTTTTGGTTTTCATTTCTGGAAATCCTGGATGATTTTCATGGTTTCAGCTGCCCGCTTTGTGATGGCAGGGCTGTCAGCAGTCATGCCTTGAAGGGCTGGAAGAGAAAAGGACAGAGCCAAGATCAGAGCCTGCATCTGCAGGGCCCTGAGGAGCTCCTCCTGCCAGGGCCATCCCACCCAGCTCTTGCCATGGCCAGGAGGGAGATGGGTCCAATGGGATCAGCCAGAAGGTGCTGGCCACCAACACCCCTCATGCCCCTGAAATCTCTCTCTGCTCTGTACATGCAGGGAACAGAGCCCTCCTCACTTGGGGCAGGATTACAGCTCCCTGCCCAGGGTCTGTGCTCCTCCACCAGCCCCCACTGACAGCCCACTGCCCGCACTCACCCTCAGTGATGACCTCTGTGATGAACTCATCCTCCTCCTCCCCCTTTCTCAGGTACTTGGCAGCAATCCCTGGGAACACAGATCCTGTCAGGGCCCCAGTGCTGTCACAGCTCCCCCACAGTGGCACTGCCAGCCTGACCACACATCCTCCTGCCCTGGCAGGGCTGAACCCGGGCCCTTCCCGCCTGGGGATGCCCCAGGGCTGGGCTGGCAAAGGGTGGCAGCACCGCCAGGGCACTCGGAGCTCCCCAGCACAGCCCTGGCCGCATCTGCTGCCGCTGCAGCAGCCGGGGATGGGGCCGAGCTGCAGTGGGGTGGGCAGGGACCTTGTGGCTCACCTATGAACCTGAGGGCAATCTCTTTCAGGGGCTCCTGCGGGCTCTCCACGTATGGCAGAGCTTGCCACATGAATTCCACCACTCTTTCCTTCTCGCTTTCCACCTGCAGAGAGCACCAGGGCACAGAGGGAATGGTTGGCTGGGGCTCTGCCCCTTGGCCGGGCGCTGCCTGCGCCCAGCACTGGCCGCCCTGCCCCACAGCCCAGCTGGGCCGGGGCTCCAGCGGCACCCTGGCTCGGGGGCACAGGAGCTGCAGAGGAGCCCGCACGCCCCAGGGAAGGCAGCAGCGGCTGGGGCGCAGGCTGCTGTCCCACAGGGGCTGCAGCAGTGGGCAGGGGCACAGTGCCAGCCCCACACTCGGGGCATCGGGGTCTGGGGCTGTTCAAGACTGGGGCTGGGCCTTCATGGCCATCCTTACCAGGCAGTCGCAGAACCACCAGGGCTTGTCCGCCTCCAGCAGGTTCTTGAGATGCCTTCTCCTCAGGAACCTGAAAGCACGAATCAGCGCTTCCCAAGAGGCCTGCAGAGCAACAGGGAGCAGGACATGGCACCGCAGCCCAGGCCACAGGACCCGTGTCCTTGCACCAAGGCCACAAGGATGCGGGAGCCCAGCAGGCACCAGGGCAGGAGACAGCCCAGCCCCCTCCCACGGGGACACCAGAATCCAGAAAGTCCTCACGTCTGCCAGATCCTCGTTCTCATCATTCGAGAGGAAGAAGAGTGGGATCAGGCTCGGGATCACGTGTGTCTGCAGCTCTTGTTTTCCCTCCTCCGCTACCAACTTCAAGACCTTACGGAAGAGGCGAACGGAGAGCAGTTGCACACGGATGTTCTCCTGATGGAAAGGAAGAAGAAAAGACCTCAGCGCTGGCTGCTCCAGGCCCACTGGGGCACAGGCCTGCAAATGCACAGGCCACAGTTTCCCGACAGCACCCAGTGCCTGTGGTGGGGGGCACAGAGCCTTACGTAGCCAAAGAGTGTTGGGAGTGCCTCAGCCAGCTCCTGGGCAGTGAGGGTGGAGATTGGGGTGTGTCTGCCCCGAACTTCATTGAGGAATACAGAGAGAGCCATCCTGACCAGCTCTTCATCTGCATCCCACAGTAGGCTGCGTGAGGCTTTGTGTCAGAGTCCACACACCGTCAGCCTGGGAGGAACACAAGGCTGTGCTGTGAAGCCATGAACGGCTGCAGAGCCAACTCCGTTCCGGCGGGGCAGCCCTGGGTGCTGCCGCGGGCCCGGAGGCCAAAGGCCTGTCCTGAGGGACTGGGGCAGCTGAACAGGGAGGCAGCAGAGCTGGGAGCAGCTGCCACAGCTCCCAAAGCCCAGCCCAAGGGACTGTGTTGCCCAGCCCCACACTGCCCACACGGCTTCAGCCCCTACCCCCTGCTCACCATCGCAGGATCCTTGCTCAGCACCACAAGAGCTCTGAGTGCCAGGCGACGCCTCTCTGGGCACTCGCTCCGGAGGTGCCTTGAAAGCATCTGCACAAGGCTGTCTCCCCATTCACTCACGTCCACCCAGTCCAGGACCTGAAAGGCACGGAGCAGTGAGGGGGTGCCTGGTCAGCAGGAGCCCAGACCTGAGCAGGGCTGGGCCCTCCAAGAGAGCGAGGCAGCGCTCGCCATCAGGCTCACCTCCACAAGGAATGCCACAGTGGGGAGTTCCAAGCGGGGCTCCTCCCTGCCCTGCAGCTCCAGCAGGTGGAATGTGATCCAGGAACACAAGGGGCTGGAGACACGGCGGATCTCCCTGGCAGGGGGAAAAAGGCACCATCAACCTGAGCCGGGTGGGTAAAACCTCTGCTGGGATGGATTCACAGAGGCCCGGCCTTTCCCCACCAGCTCAGGAGGGGACAAGGACACTCTGGGAGGCGGCTCCTCCTGTGCCCCCGCCCCTCCCAGCCTTTTCCACTCTGCTCAGCCATCCCTGGGTGACAAGGCCCTCTGGCCCAGGCACTGTGGGGGTGCCCCGTGCACAGGCAGAAATGACAGGGGCAGCGGGGACAAGGGGGTCTCACCTGGCCAGCAGACCCACTGCGTAGTGGTGGGTGTCAGGCCTGAGGAGCGTGTCCCAGCCACACTTGCGTTCCATTGAAAACACCACATCCTCACATTTGAGATGGCAAAGCAGGGCCTTTATGGTCACCACTGCAAACCTGTGTGCAGAGCAAAGGCCAGGTCATGCTGGGAGCCCTGACCCAGCCCCAAGGGCATGGAAGGCACAGGAGGACTGGGATGGAGCACCTGCTGGGCTTGGTGGGAAGGTTCTGTTGCTCCTGGCATCCCCTCCAGAAGGTGTCGACCTCCTCTGGCATCTGCTCTGTGCTGACAAGAATTTGGAAGAGCAGAGCCACGAGGAGATGGGGGGAGTACTCCACCAATGGCCCTGGGCACCGGATCATCTGGAGGATCTCCCAGATCACCCTGGTTGCCTGCAAAAGATAAACCACCCAGACCAGCTCTCAGTGCCCAGATGTCCATGTGGCAGGGCCTCGAGCATAGGAGGGAGACCCCAGGGAAGATGCAGGGGGAGTCCCTGGCCTGGTGCCCCTGAACCTGGCCCTAACCTACATTCCCAACCCCGTGCCTGAGGCAGGAAGATGCAGTGTTGGGGAGGAAGGAGACCCACTGGAGAGGTGACCTGGGAAGGAACCAAAGCCCATTGCAGGAACTCACAGCCAGAGCAAAGACAGGCGTGTTGTCCCCATTGGAGGTGGACGTGCTGTGCAATGGCCAGTCCTCCATCACACAAAGCAACTCTGGCAGCACCTTCTTCAGTGCCATTCCCGACGAGGCGATGGTCCTCCACATGCTGGCAGCAGCTCTGCGGGGCCAGAGTTGTGTGTCAGGGGGTGCTGACAAAAGGGCCTTGAGGAGCAGGGAGGGAGCCTGGCAGCAGGATCGGGGCTGACACGGCAGGACTGGGAAACAGAGGGGCCAGGGGTTCCTGGAACTCCCCATCCCTCTGGCAGACCACGTGGGATGGGATGGACAGGGTGAGGGGCTCTAAAGACTGGTGAGCCCCAAGCCCCAAAGGCAGGGGGTCCTGTACCTGTCACAGGAGGGGCACAGCGCAGGAGGGTGACCACAACATCAGCAGGGTATGCCTTGGTCACTCTCAGAAACTGCGTGAGCAGCTCCTCTTCTGGACTGCCGTTGCCTTTCAGTGCCTGCTGCATGTTCCTCACGAAGGCTGGCACCTGGAGGAGGCATGGGGAAGAGTTGCCAACTTGCCCAGCTTCCCCAACAAGTGCTGCCCTTCCCACCACACGGTGCTGGCCTCAAAGGCTGAGTGGGCCCAGGGGAGCTGGCTTGAGGGGCCACACAAGCCTAGGGTGGCTTGAGCCCTGGCCACAGGCTGCTTACTTGCTTTGCATCAGAGACACCATTCTCCTCAGAAACATCCCCAGTGGGAGCATAATTCTCGCTCTGAGAGGGCCCGCTGGGGGTGTCTGCAATGCTGTCCCGGTCTGCATCTGGCAAAGAGCGAGCACGGTCAGAGCTGAGGGGCTGCGGGACAGCCTGGAGAACACAGCCCAGCCCTGCGCTCCATGGCAGGGCCAGCCCCGGGATGCCCAGTGCATGGAGCTGCTGGGGGATCAGCCCTGGGCCCTCTTCCCCCTCCCTATCTCTGGGCATGTCCACAAAGGATGGGATGGGAGAAGGCCCATCTGGCTGCAGCCACCAGCCCTGTGGCCCAGCTCTGCCACTCACCTTCCTGCAGGGGCTGGGACTGCTCCACCTCTTCAGGCTGCTGGGCTGGGGCAGGCCCAGGGATTTCCTGCTCCTCCTCCTCTACCCAGGCCAGCTTGGGCACTCGGGGGGGTCTCTGCTCCATATCTCTGGCTGGCTCCATGGCTGCCTGCAGTAGACATGGCACAAAAAAGCTCTGCATCACCAACTCTTGCAGTCTTGAAGGTTCCTGCAACAGAAGACTTGGGAACTGTGCAGCCCATCAGTTCCCATGGTCTGGCCTCGAGAGCACCTGCCACAGGAACTGAGATGTCTTTGAAAAGCTCTGGGTCACCAAGTCCTACTCTCTAGCCTGGAGGGGGCACATGGCAGAGTGGCCAGAGTGAGTAACTTGCCCACTGTTCCCTGAGAACTCTTTCCCTTCCCACCACTCTGTGTTGCCCTCAAATGCTAAAGGGGCCCAGCAGACTCAACTTGAGGGCCCACACAATGCCTGCCCACAGGCTGCTTACCTCAGCAGAGACGACTTCCTCCCAGAGATCCTCGACACTGGCAGCATCAGGCAGGCACTCAATGCATGTGCTGTCAGTGTCTGCGTTATCCTCAGCCGTTGCACCCTCAGCCTCTGTGGTGAGCTCTGGCAGCGCGGTGCTGGAGTTTGTCACCTCATCAGTAACCGCACTGTCACCGTTGGCTCTGCCATCAGTCGACACGGTGCCGACATCAGGCTCTGGTTTGAGCTCACTCGGCGTGGGGTCCGGCTGTGCCACGACCACAGCTGGTGTGATCCTGGCCCCTCTACGCCTCCAGGATGTCAGGAAGGCCTGCAGGAGAACAAAGGGCAGGGAAGAGAGGGATGTGTCATGGAGAGCTCTGACAGCAGTGCCAGGCTGAGCAGGGGACGATGGCATCACATGTCACAAAGGGCCCTGTGACACCCTGCCCCAGTCCATCCCATTGGTGATGCCCACTGTGCCACAAAAGGCCCTGTGACACACTGCAGGTACCTGTACTGCCCTGCAGAAGTGGCCACGGGCACGGTCCTGCTGTTGTGTCCTGTGCCGGCCTGGATCTGGCAAAGAGCAAGCGCTGTCAGAGCTGAGGGGCTGCGGGACAGCCTGGAGAACACAGCCCAGCCCTGCGCTCCACAGGCAGGGCCAGCCCCGGAATGCCCAGTGCATGGAGCTGCTGGGGATCAGCCACTGGCCCTCTTCCTCCTTCCCGATCCCTGGCCGTGTCCACAGAGGATGGGATGGCATGGAATGATGCCCATCTGGCTGCAGCCACCAGCCCTATGGCCCAGCCCAGCTTTGCCACTCACCTTCCTGCAGGGGCTGGGGCTGCTCCATCTCTTCAGGCTGCTCTGTTGGGGCAGGCCCAGGGCCTGCCTTCTTTTGTTTCCTCTTGAGCAGCCTGGCCAGGCTGAAGCGTCTCTCGGCCATCCTACAGTCGGGCCTCGAGGGCACTGCTGCAGGGAATGGAGACGCCAGCGAAAATTTCCGGGGCACGAAGCCCCAGAGCACGGCCTCGAGGGCACCTGCCGCAGGGACTGGAGACACCTCACAAGAGCTTTGGGTCACCAAGTCCCACGGTCTGTCCTCGAGAACACTCGCGCTAACGAAAAACCGCCAAAAACGCTCCGGTCAGCAAGGAAAGAGTTGTCTGTGTGGGGACTCCGCACAGCACCGCTCTGTCCCGTCTGTCCCGTCGCATGCTCCGAGGAGCACTGAGGTGTTGCCACATCAACACCAGTATTTATATCATCCCGTGTCACAAAGGGCCCTGTTCCATCCCCTCGGCGATGCCCACCGTGTCACAAAGGGCCCTGTGACACCCTGCCACCTGCCCTGGGGCCTCCCCCAGCCCAGCCAACCTGACCCAGGACGGAAGGAGTCCCTTCGCCAAAGTATCTAAGACAGCTGCACATGAACTTTAGGCACAGCTCAAAAACTAAGCAAAGCCTCCCTGCTGTGCCGGCCCACTGCTGCAGCAGAAAGAGCCCCCTCTGCTGCCGATGCAGCTGCAGCGGGAAGGGCACAGGGCCTCCACAGAAGCTGGCACGGGCTCTTTGGGAGATGTCCCGGTTGGTGGCTGTCCCAAACGTGGGGTTGGGACACACAGAAGGAATGTGAGGGCAAGGGCACCAATGCTGCTCTGACCCCTTTGGCCGGGGCTGCATCAAAATCAGCAGCTCTGGTAAGTCCTCACCCAGGGAGACCTTCCACCACCCCGAGTCCTGGTAGGGCTGGTGCCCATCTCCTGCCCCAAAGAGCTGTGCCCCCAGGGGACTTCTCTGCCCCAGGGCAGCCAAAGCCAACAGGCACTGATCTCTGTGCTCTTGCAGGGAGTTCTTGGGAGCAGCAGCTGGAGCAATTGGTGGCAGGGCTCGGCATCTGTCAGAAGGCAGAAGCAGTTTCTCCTGGCGGGAATGATTTTCTCATGCAAGCGATGACCTGCAGCACCAAACCACCATCAGTTGCTCAATTTCACAGGAAGATTAGAGTGGTAACAGATCCTGTCAAGTTTCCTTGTGTTATTTGGACTTTTTTTTTGCTTTCTGCAAAATAAAAGCTGCCCAGTCTGATGTTCAAAGCTCTAGGTGCTGTGTGTGTGGCTGCGACTCCCAGCTGATATCCAGGGCACTGGGGAGAAGTGAAGGGGATAGGGAGGATTCTGGGATCCAAACCTGTTCTGTGTCTCTGATGAAGGTGCCACCCCACTGAAGGAGCAGCCCAGACAATGCTGGCAGCAGACATCTTCTGCCAGTTGCTGCTCTCGCATGGACACAGGGCACACGTGTTCCCACGTGTCCAGAACACTTGATCCAAGAGCAATGCAGGGCCATGCACTGGTAGGGAATGGGCTCCAGCAAGCCCAAAGTAGCATCCTCTAGCAGCAAAACTTGAGCTTGTGAGCTGGGCCATCTTTGCAGCAGACCACAAAGGACTGACTTCCCTCCATTCTGGAAGCTGAGCCATACAAGGCTCTGCTTCAGCTTCTGCTGCTTCTCCCCTCCATTCCAGAAAGGCCTGGATGTAGAAGCCCGTTGTAGCTGTCCAGTCAGGGGCTGCAAGAAGGCTCAGGAAAAGTCAGGATGACAGCACGATGCTGATCCCCATCGATTGTTCACCAGTCTTACGGTGTCCCACAATTGTCCAGTCCAATGGGACTTTTGAGGCTTTAAAAAGCATTTAAGCAGGCCATTTGTTTGTTCCACTATGCCATTTGCCTGTGGATAATAAGGTGTATAGTGGATAGCAAGGTGTGCGGAATACCCACTGGATTCCTTCATCTCTGGCCCACTTCTGGACGATAGCAGCTGTGAAATGTGACCCGTTGTTTGATTGGATAGATATGGGTTTTGGGAAAAGGCTGAACCACATCTCGAGAGAGTCATGAGTGTTTTTACTTTAGATTCCATTTTTCCACAAAAGCAACAACAACAAAAAAACTCAGGGTGAAACCTCTCTAGGAGTTGCCACATAGACACAATAAAAAATAAATTCATCCCTCACCCTAGAAAGTTACCACTTAAAAACTATGTTACCAACCTGGGGAGGGGCCCGAGGGGTTAAGGAAATGGGACTTTGCAACAAAAATTAAATGCAATAAAATTAAAATTTGACACTCCTCGCAACAAGGGATGACTGACATCTACCCACACCAAACACGATGCACACACACCACTCCTGATGGGGGGGAGAGCACACACCTTGCTTAATTCCTCCTGCCACAAAGTAATCACTTAACACAAACTACGACTATGTGTTTGAGACCAACACTCCCCTTTCGAGTGGAGAGGGAGAGATAAGGAAAAGGGAAGGCTACAAAAGGAAAGTGCAAAAAAGATACGTCCCCAACCAGTGAGAGAGCTGGGTGTAGTCAGCCTCGGGCAGTCAGGGCAGGGCCGCTGGAGGGAAGCAGGTGGTGAGCAGAGCGGATCCGAGACGAACAGGAGACACAGGCAGGTGGGACACGAGCAGGACGGAGGCAGACTAGACGGAGGCAAGCAGAACGGAGCGAGGAGGGAGGCCAGCAGCCAGCACGGGACCCTGGGCAGCACCGACTGGGCTGGAGCATCGGGCAATGCCCGATTGAAGGCACTGCCTTCAATGCCCCCGGTGGGCACTCACTGGCCAGCTTGGCTCCGGGCAGAGCTTTTCACGGTGTCGATTGGTTAAGCTACTGGTATCCAGGAAAGCTGGCTCTGCCAAGGCGGGAAAATGTAGCAACTTCTTGTTGGAGACGCTCCGGGGGTTCCTCAAGCAGCCCAAAATGTCCCCCAGGTCGATGAAGACAGCCCTGCCAACGGCTGAAGTCAGTGCTCGCCATTTTGATCACTCACTGGGCTCCGAGGAGGGCTCCTGGGAGCCTGCAAAACTTACCCTTGGCACAAACCTCAGCTGAGGGAGAAAGCTTCCTTAGCGTGAAGTGGTTAATTGCCGCTTATGCAACTTAAAACGGCTGCGAAAGAAGCTTTGCCCAAGGCCTTCACTGCCCCATTAACACCTCTGGTGCCTCCGAAGAGAGGCTAATTACCGATTGTTTATTGCAGCCCTCAATGTAAAGACACAGTAGCAAGTTAGAGCTGGAACAGTCTCTTACACTCAGGCATGTGTTTTTGAGGTGCCTGCACGAGAGGTTCAGCAGCTGAACCCCAAGGCTCGTGTCCCATCCCAGTCTCTAAGGATGGCAGCAGTGCCACCGCTGTGGGACGCCTGAGTGTGGCAGGTGAGTCTGCCCTCAGGCACGGCTGTGGAAGTCAGTCAGGATGACAGGCTGAAGCTGCCAAGCGCTGCTGTGAGGCTGGGCAGTCAATAGAAAGCCCTTGTGGCCACTTTTCCTGAAGCCTTTGGCCAAAGTTTGTGCAATTGGTTTCTGTAATAAGTAGTAGTAGTTAAATTTACTCATCAAATTAGTAGTAGTAGTTTACTCATTAAATTGTAGTGCATGTTATATTCTTATATACATATATATGTTATTATAATCAATGTTCCGTTAAGATTGGGAGACTGTAAATTACAGAATGGTTTAGCTAATAGTCATGCAGCTTGCAATTCTTAAGCTGGAAAGACAAATTATTGTGCTTTACTGAATAAGTATTTTGTATCTTACTTTTATAAAAAGTTTATTGTCTCACAACACGCATAAAGTAAAGGAAAGAAGGTCAAGGACTGAAGAGTCAGGAACTGAAACGATACAGAGTATCCAAGATGGACATCTGGAGATGCCTGCACACTAGGCCTCAAGGTCTAAGGACTGATTGAAACTATGGACAGGAAAGCACCTGGCAACTAAAACGGACTTGTAAAGAAACCAACCAGAACGAGACCTGCAAACTCAGATCCAATAGAATGAGAACAAGTAACTATGGGAGGGGAACTGATAAGGGAATAAAACAGCATGCTGTTTTCCTTATTTGCATTTTCTATAAATCTTCAATAAATTTTTATTACTATATTTCAGCGCAGTTTCATTTTACTTACACCAATTTCTGGTGCCGTGACTCGGATCAGGGTTCCTGGGCAGTAGGACCCCCTCTGGGGCGGGCGCCCCATCCTTTTTGGATGGGCCTAGAGGGAATCCTGCAGCACAGACTCTGAAATTCTGACTGAAAAGATTTAGAAAAAGCAAATAAGCAAATAAATTACTGCAGTACCCTGTAATTTATGTGCACATACCCGGGCGAAGACTCACCAAGGAGAGAAGTGAGTAATAAACCCTCTTCAGTCGGGAAGGGGTCCTTTCGGCAGGGGTTCGAACGGGGACTTACTCCAGGAGAGAGTAAGGGTATCGGTGCCATCCGGTCGGGGAGGGACCGTCCAACGAGGAGTTGGACGAAGACTTACCCAGGGAGAGGTAAGTATTTTGTGGAACCCCTTTCGGTTGGGAGGGGGTCCCAGAGTGCGAATAACTGAGATGTCCGTCGGACGAAGTGAGTGTGAACCTTCCAGTAGTGCGTTTCCCATATCCCATGAGGGACCGGGTCACGAAAGAAGGGAAGCGAGTGAAGTGTGTGTGTGTGTGTGTGTGTGTGTGAGAGAGAAGGCACTTTGGAAGATGGGGCAGAAGAAAAGTAAATCTTCTGCTCCCATGGGTGGCTGCAAATTAGTGCAGGACAGCCCTGAGTGAGGAAAAACCCAAGGAGGAGGGTGGAGATGGGGATCACAAGGAGAAGTTGCAGGATACCCCACAGGAGAGGAGAAACCTTGCGAATGAATCTGTGATAAAGTTACCAACCATACCCCCAGATAGTTCTTTAGAAGTTATGATCAGATATTGGAATTATTATCCTTCTAGAAAAGGGAAGTTGAGAGAAAAGATGGTGTATTATTGTATGAAGGTATGGGGGGACAGCAAATAAGACAGGATCATTTGTATTGGCCAGTATACAGTTCATTTGAGGACTAGATATGTCAGGCTTTAAATCTGTATGTGAATAACAAGGTGTCGTGGTTTTGCTCTGGGTCGGTTTGCTTTCGCACCCCCCACGCAATTATTAATCGGTTGGGAGGGAGTTTGTGCAGACAAGGGAGGCTGGATTTAGGGAAGATAGTACGAGCGTTTATTACTAGCACAGTGGAAACTATTGAAGAACTGTGTCTACAGTAATCTTACTTGAGTGGAGGGTGCTATGTATTTACAAAAAAGAATGCTTCTCCCTCCCCACTTTATATCAGTCCAAGGAGGAGAAGTAGTTCTTTTCTTCATTCTCGGAGTTCCAGGTCTCCTCAGCAATTCTGCAACACTCTCGTTGCAGCTGGAACTCTTTCTCCTTCTCTGTGTCAGCCTCTGTGAGGGCTGGGCCTGCCCCCCCCTCCTGGGTTAAGGCCGGAGGCTGGGGGGGGTTACCCAAGTCCTGAATATAACAAAAGTAGAAGGGCATACTAGTGATTCATGCCTTTCTGAAACAGTAATATGGATCCCACACACAGATCCCAGTATCTCATCTGAGCCGTCTCGCTTCAGTGTGAGTCTTATCCCCTTCAGGGTCATATTTAGAGTCACAGATTTTCGACAGGTCTCTGCCTTATTTTCAGTCCTTTTCATAAAGTCCCGGCTTCCTGATACATCATCTACAAACTCCTCTGTGGGCTGCATGGGGGGGTCTCCTTGCCCCGGTGGACTTTCGTGGGTGGCGAAGATTTTTTTTTTTCGGTCTTTTCCCTGCTGGGGGGGGGAGGAAGCAAAACCCCTTTGCATTTCTTTCTCCTCTGGCTGCCAGCTTTAACCTTGGAAGTCCCTTATCTCTTCACTGGAATTTCTCTGCAGCAGTTTCTGTCCAAGCAGTTCATCTTTTAAACTTTTTTTCTCACTCTCTTACAGAAGAGAAGGGGAACTTCAGTGCTACATCTGCCCTCCTCCCTGGCCCAAGCCGGGGGAGGAGGAGGCCTGGCCTTTCTCGGGCCCACTACTTTTCTACAAGACTACTGCCCCTAATTTTAACTGCAACACAAGTCTTCTCTTCTGTTTTCTTAAAGATGTAATTAGCAAAGGCATTACTGAGAGTTTTAATTGGTTTTTTTCTCCGAAAACCCACTTGGACAAAACTATCCACAGCCCCAAGGATGGGCTGCTGGGCAAAACCACAACACAAAGAGCCTTTTTGTGCAGAAAAAAGCGAATATGCTACTTTATGGATTAAATCAAATACTACACACTACTTATTTCCTTTAAAGGAAACGAGAAAGCAGAAAAAGAATATTTGGGATCTGGAGGATTTTCAAAGATACCCTCCACCATATATCCCGCACCCTCCACCCCCTGCACCCATTCAAACACCGGCATTTCAGCCCTCTGCCCCACCTGCAGGCAAAGCACCTGTACAGGCCAATCTTCCCTGTGAGGGTGGGCAGGCCCTGGCACAGGTTGCCCAGAGAAGCTGTGGCTGCCCCTGGGTCCCTGGAAGTGACCAAGGCCAGGTTGGACGGGGTTTGGAGCCACCTGGGCTGGTGGAAGGTGTCCCTGCCCACGGCAGGGGGTGGCACTGGATGGGCTTTAAGAAACAGAAACGAGGAAGAGAACTTGGCTCATATTCCTTTTCCAATATTAGACAATATGAATACAAGCATCAGTAAAGAATATTAACCCTCCTTCCAGAGACACACCCATCTGGCATTACAAATGCCTATAGACCTTATTCAAGCCAGAGAATGGATTTAAAGAGGGCTTACCCTGCTCAGGCAGCTGCTCTTGCATTTCAGCTGTGTTCATTTGATTTTGCTAGAAATCTCTTTCAAAAGGCCTTTCAAATCAGAGAGCTTCACCAAAAAAAAAAAAAGGCTATTTATATATAGTCAATCTAGCTCAAAGAAAGCAATGCTCACAAGTTATGTGAGTAACAAGCAATTGCCTCTCCAAACATTACACTAAATGCAACAGTGCTTGAAAGGACACTTCCAATTAGCGTGTTCATCAGGGCAATTAATGCAGTGAGCCCTGATGCAGATGTATTTCAGCTGGTTAACAAGAACAGAGTCACAATATGGATATTACTTTTCAGTAGAGAATTACGGTTATCAGATCTCCTTTCAGTTTCAAGAAGAGCATCACTAGCCACAGACTCACTCACCATTTCCATTTCAGCCTGGGGAGCAAGCCATTCTTTTGCAGTCTAAATTATTTGACAGCAATCAAAAGATGTATTTTGAAGTATTATGTGGGTCTTTTCACTCTTGGACTTCTAAAAAGTCTGTTCTTCATGCCAGAGCAACTCCCTGCTTCAGAGGCCAAATACACAATTCAATCAAGCCTCAGAAAATACCCCCTGGGAAGGTCTTTTCAGTATCACAGTCATAAAAATTATACCTGTATGACAATTCTGATCATGATGTGCTCTCTAGTAGACCGGTAGCTTTCCATTGCTTAATTACTTCATGCCTTCAGCTCTAGAAGCTAAATCTGACAGACATGTGTGGGAAGGGGACACTTCATTACTTGATCACTATAACCTTTCTCTGCAGTAGTGATTAGATGCATTGCCAAGTGTATCCTTTCATAAGCCACTGCTTCTTCTGCAGTTCTTTGCTGTTTTGCACTATAGTAAACTTAGACATTCATTCTTTAAAGTTGGTGTCTTTGTTCCTTAAATCCATCCTCATTCCCAGGGCAAAATAGAGTGGGAAAACAGTGGCCCATCACCTGCTTTACCAGAGACAATCACGTTTCCCAGAGCAATTTCAAACACAGGTACCTTTGCATCCAGTTGTCTAAATCGATGCACCATCCTGAAAGCAGGAGGAGAACAGGGAGGAAAGGGCTGAGTTCAGGTATTAGAGAAACCTTGCCTAACTACCACACTCCCCTCCAGTGCTCCATCCTCCCAAGGAGGTGCAGCTGCAGGTGACTGGCATTGCTTTCATGACAAGTAAATGAACTAACACATGAACTACTATTAATAGGATGCTGTTCCATTTTCCTTCTCAAGACGCTTCTGCTTCCAATACGAAAGTTGCTTTTTGGGCATTTGTTTGGCTTCTTATGCAATGCTGGGTTGCCTCTGGGTAGTCTTAACTTAAACATTTATCTGTGAACAGCAACGTTCATGTGCAGGGGCACAGAAGAGTCTGGTCTTTCTCGCCCATTCTGATCAGCTCTTCCCTCCCATCTGATTCAGGGAAATACTCAAGCTGCTGGAAGTTAGCAACCAAGTTCAGCCATCACACAGATCAGGTTACTGTTCTGTTTTCCAGCTTTATTTATGTTTTTGTTTGTTTTTTTTTTTTCCTCTTAGACTATTACTCTGAAAACACTGAGACAGATCCCGAAGATAGTGTGTCACAAGCTGGCACTCAAAGAAGCATAGTTCAAGTCCCCAAACTTCCAATCCCATCATTCCAAAGAGCATCTTCCCCTCCCCAAAGGTCTTTCCTACTCATGCTATTAAGCACAGATCTCCATACAGATTAATGCTGTGGGAATGTTTGATATTCCAGGTGTAATGCTAAATATTCTCTGCTAACTGCATCATAGAATTATTTAGGTTGGGAAAGATCATCGAGTTCAATCCTTAACCCAGCACTGCCAAGGCCACCAACAAACTGTGTCCCCATGTGCCACACCCACATGGCTTTTAAATCCCCCCAGGGATGGGGACTCCACCAGTGCTCTGGGCAGCTGGGCCAGGGCTGGACAACCCTTTCAGTGAAGAAATTCTTCCTAATATCCAACCTCAACTTCTAATGTTGCAAGAATAGTCAGCAATAGCAATGCTTTCCATGATGAGATCTCAAAACACCACAGGAAGACATTTTCTTCCCTGCAGCACATAAAAAGAGCCACCATTTCACTTCAAAAATTAAAAATATAAAGCACATTTATGCTGAGTTTATTTACTTACTCGTTAACGTTTGTAAACATTTAGAGCTGCTGGAAACTTGCCTTCACTAGAAATATTCAACAGAAAATTAAGGGAAGGAAGACAAAGAAGGGCAGACGTTCTCTTCTGATGAATCGTTTGCTTTGGTATTGATTTTGACAAGGTAATTCTCCTTCATGACAGCTTCCCATGCCAGAATTTCATTGTCCTCGTTTCTTGAGCCTGGGAAATATATTGGGAAAAAAAAGAATAGTTAAATTTGTCTCTCCAATGCTAAGATGCAAAGAGGCTGGGTCAGCGCTTGCACCCACAGGTTAATGATTCCCTTCTCCACATCCTGAGCACTCACAGCCCCACTTTCCCCTTCCCTTCAACTCCTGACAACCAGAGTTGGTTAAAAACAGGAAATATGGAGGGGGGGAAAAAAAAAAAAAAAGCAAAACAAAAAGACAAAAAAACCCAAAACCAACAGAAAACCCCCACACTTACAAGCTCCAAAAGTCCTTCTGGATTTTTTTTGGAGTCTTAGTTACCACAGGTACAACTGCTTCAACAGGTACAGGACATTCCAGAAACTTCCTATGTGGATTTGAGCTTTCTGTTTGTCTGCACACTATCCCATATTGGAACATTAAGAGTGAAATATGTTAAGAACCATGACTTGTCACTGAACTACAATATTTCAGAAAGATGAAGCACTGTCTTCTCTAAAAAGCATCTCCTGGTTATGCTGTAAATTCAGGAGTGACACAGAGCAACCCACCTGGAGGCAGCAAAGTCCTCCAGGATAATACTCCAGCATTTAGTCCTGTTCCATTTGGACAGCACAAACCACATGGGTTTTAATACAAAACTAAAATTAACGGAGACAAAAGAAGTCCAGAGCTGGAAAACGGCTGAAGTTTCATTTCCTCTAACCTCACACAGCCCTCAGCATCCAAACACCCAAATCCCAACCATTTCCATAATAGTTAAGTGAGGAAGGCAGGATCTGGCAGCAGTCTAGACATTAATGTGCTCTCTCCATGCAGGTCTCAGCTCCTATCCTCAGCAAAAACCTGATGACATTCTGGCTCTAATTAACTCCTCCATTTGCTTTCAGAACTGCAACATCATCTGTGCATCCTTTGAGCAGAAATATCTGCCATCCGACAACCTCCCCTGCAAGGAAACCACCCAGTGATTTGGGCAGCCAAAATGGTTTAGTCAGTGCTAAGGAACATCAGACCCCCAAAGGAGGCTCTTCCTCCTAAACTACCAACAAATCCAGCCCGTGCTGCAGGGAACAGGCAGGTTGCTGATGGCTGGGAATAGCCTGTTAGTTAATTCAACTTATCCTCTCCCAGGTGCTTCTGAATGGCACTTATGAGGAGAAAAGAAAACACTCCATTTGTTGGGGGAAAAAGCTTGTTAAAACAATTCCTATCTGTGCCTCTGACAGAGGAAATAAGGGAGAAATAGCTAAAGGACTGACTCGCCACATTTTTGAGGTCCTTTGCCCATCTGGCCACATCCAGAGGGCCAGGAAACTCTTTATTCTCTTTCTGTCACTCTCCAGCAAACAGAACAAATTTAAAAAAAAACACTAAACCACAACCCTGCAAAGCTGGAAAGCAGCACAAGCAGCCCTAAACTGATAGGATGAATCCAAAGTCTTCACTGATTTACACACATGAGGTAATTCTACCTCAAAATGGCTCGGACAAGAAAACACTGGATAACTCCGACTTGAAGATTTGAATCTTACCCAAGAGACTTCCAGCAACACAGTGGATTTGCTTATGACAGACAACATGAATGAGCTGCTTCTCCCTTCCAGCACAACCAGCTCCTCCAAGGTCTTACAGTGCCCTTGGTAATTTCCCAGCAAACAACCAACTGCCTGGATTAGGCACAGAATGCCAAGCAGGAACTGCAATGCCCCTGCCACAGAGACGACTTCTGGGCAGTAAGGACAAATCCAACTGGACAAATGGATGGCTCTTTGCTTTCCTTCTGACAGCAGCACTTGAAACACTTCCTCAGCACCATGAACACGTAGGCAAAGATGACGAAAGGGAAGGGGATGGTCAGGTGACTGCAGTATTCCTGCACCAGGAAGTAACGCTGGAACTTCCACACCTGGTCGTTGTTCTCTTGCACTGATCCAACCGTGTAACTAATGGGTGAAGAAACAGAAAACACCCCCCAGGATTAGATACTCAGAGAGCCCCATCAGAGCCAGGGAATACAGCATTTCTGTGCTGCACCAGGGCAGGGTTTCACAGAGCCACAGAGTCACGGACTGGTTTGGGTTGGAAGGAACCTCAATCCCTCCCCAGGACACTGCACCAGCTTCCATCAGACTGCTGTGAGAAATGCAGAGCCCGAGGGCTGGCTTCCTGCTGTTTTCCAGGACTCCATTCCCCCTCCCAGAGATACACTGGTCCAGAGATCCCAAGGAAGTGATGGCTCCTTTCTTACGTACCCAAACATGGCCACGAGCAGGTTCACGAGGAGGATGTTGGTTGAGAGCATGGAAATGCAGACAAGGGGAATGGTGATCCACTCGGGAAAGCGGGGCTGGTTGTTGGCATCCAGCTCCACACACAGGGGCTTGGACTCGTTCCCAGAAAAGGTGCAGCGGTCAAAGTTGTAGGTGGTACCTCAGAGGGGAGAGCAAACTGTGAGTCCTCTCCTCCACTTTCTGCTGGGCTCTGCTCTGACCACAGTTGGTGTGGCCTCCTCCCTCCCTGCCTCCCCATCAGATCTGGAGGCAAAGGGTCAACACACAGGTCAACACAGGCCTGGACAACCTCTAGAAGGACAGAGCCTTCCACCCAGCCACCCAGCAGAGATCCCCCCAGGAGGTAATTACCATCCACATCATCAGGGTACTGGCCAAACATGGCCAGGTAGGGCTCGTAGATGACCGATCGGAAGATCCGCTCCCAGCGGTGCTCGTTCTTCCTCAGGATGCCTTGCCTGGCCACTCCAAAGGCCACCATCCACACAGCAAAGAGGAAGAGGAAGAAGAAGACGTCTATCATCTGAAAAAGAACAAGCATCAGTGCCCCAACTGCATGTCTGCTCCAAGCCACGCGTGTTCCCGATTTCACCAACACACATCCACAAACAACTGACCATTCCCACAGCACAACCTGGTAAGGCCCTCCCTCAGCCAGCCCAGGGAGCTCCAGCACAGCCAGTGCCCAGGGAGAATCTCCCAGCCCGGCCTGTTCTCTCTGACAGAGCTCCTGAGCTGGGAAGATGGGGCTGGGAGTTCCAGGCTGGGCTTGCTTGGGCTTTGCTGGGCTGGGCAAGGGCTGGGAGCTGGGAGCATTGGGGCTGCTCCTCCAGCTCCTGCTCTCACTGTGTTCTCCTCCTTTCCCTTCCCAACCCCACTTGCACACCCCACAGCACATGGGGTTTACAGACATCCCTGTAACTCCCATTGGGTTTGTCCCTGTGTTCAGGAATCTGCCCTGAGCCAACCCCTGGGGTCGTCTGCTGGACCTTCATTTGTTTGGTGTCAGAACCCCCGTGCTGAAATGGTCTGTCTGAGTCCCCAAAAGGAATAAGAATGAAGATTCCTCCCAGACAAAAGGTGCCAGCACAGGAAGCTCCATTTTTGTATGGAGTGCCAAGAGTGGCTCACCAATTGCACAGGAGAGATGGAGGGTAAGGGCTTTTTTTCCTGCCTGGAACTTCATTTGTTTGGTGTCTGAACCCCTGCACTGAAATGGTCAGTGTGACGGAAAAAATAAAAAGAATAAAGATTCTTCCCAGACAAAAGGTGCCAGCACAGCAAGCTCCATGTGTGCATGGAGTGCCAAGAGTGGCTCACCAACTGAACAGGAGAGATGGAGGGTGAGGGCTTTTTTTCCTGGCTGGAACTTCATTTGTTTGGTACCAGAACCCCCGTGCTGAAATTGTCAGTCTGAGTTCCCAAATGGCATAAGAATGAAGATTCCTCCCAGAGAAAAGGTGAAAGCACAGGAAGCTCCATGTGTGCATGGATTGCCCAGAGTGGCTCACCGTGATGGTTTTGGTCTAGGCCTTCCTGATGACCAGCTTGCAAACAAGGAAGTGGCCATGTACCCAGCATTCCATACGATTTTTACGTAAACCAGAGTATAAAAAAGTTGGAGATCAGAGACCTCGCTCTCTTCTCTTCTGGCGAGGTTCAGGGCAGTGGGTCCTTGTGTTGGTCTCGCTTATCCAAGGCTGAGGCCTGCAGTGTCCTCTGGTCTACCACGTGGGAGATTGGAGAGTGCTGGCCCTGTCTGCCAATCCTGCTTTTCTAAGGGACGTGGTGAGATTTGTTTTGCTAGTTATTAGGATAGTTCTTGAGTTTGATTGTGTATATCTGTTCGGTGTCCCTTTTTGTCCCCTTTTGTCCCTTTTCCCCTTTCCCTTCCACTTAGGGGGTGTTTGGATTCCCTGTGCTGTGTACATAGCATCTTAACTGTATACACCTGTAATATACGTAAATATATATATTTTTATATAATTAGCTTTATTTGAGGTTCTTCAATTTTTTTTATAGTTTTTATTTTTCCTTTGCCCTAAGGGAAGAAAGGAGGGGGAAGGGGGTTGCTACTGTGAGTTTGGGCATTTGGCAGGGAGCCAGGTCTGAACCATCACACCCATAAACCTCATAATGGTGCAGGCCCCATAAAGGCATTGTCCTCATAAAGCCAAACAACCTCATTATGGGGCTTTCATCATAAAAGCTCTGTCTTCATAAAGCCCATACATGTCATAGTGGGGCTGTCCTCATAAAGCTCATAAACCTCATCAGGGGCTCCCATGATAAAGGCCATGTCCTCATAAACCCCATAAACGTCATAAAAGCTCTGCCCTCATAAACCCAATCCACCTCATAAAAGTGCAGGTCTCATAAAGACACTGCTCTCATAAAGCCCATAAACCTCATAATGGTGCAGGGCTCATAGAGCCCAAACACTTCATAAAAGAGCTCTCATCATGAAAGCTCTGTCTTCATAACACCCTTACATGTCATAATGGTGTTCTACTCATAAACCCATAAACCTCATAAGACGCTCTTGTGAGTGGTAGTGGTTTAATTTACTCATCAAATTAGTAATAGTGGCTTACTCATTAAACTGTAGTGCATGTTATATTCTTATATATATATGTCACTATAATCACTGTTCTGTTACGGGTAAGAAACTGTAAGTTGTAGAATGCTTCATTAATCTATCAGCATTGTAAGCTGAAAAAGCATGAAGTTTGCAGTTCTAAAGCTAGAAAGACAAACCATTGTGCCTTGTTAAGTAAATATTTTTGTATCTCATTTTTCCGAAAAGCTTATTGTCTCACAACACGCATAAAGTAACGAAAGAAAGGACAAGGATTGAAGAGTCAGGAAATGAAACAATACAGAATATCCAAGATGGACATCTGGAGATGCCTGCATGCTAGGCCTCAAGGTCTAGGGACAGATTGGAACTATGGACAGGAAAGCACCTGGCAACTAAAACGAATTTGCAAAGAAACCAACCAGAACCAGACCTGCAAACTCAGATCCAATAGAAGGAGAACAAGTAACTATGGGAGGGGAACTGATAAGGGAATAAATGTTACTGTTTTTGCCTACTGCGCTTGCGTGCCATGAGTGGAGCAGGAGACTCCCCGGCCGCCCAGCATGCTGTTTTGCTTATTTACCTTTTCTATAAATCTTCAATAAATTTTAATTACTATATTTCAACTCAATTCCATTTTACTTAAATCACAACCTTGAAACAAAAGAGCAAAAACACGCTCAAAGAATGACCACTGACAAGAAGGGCCGGAGGTAACCTTGGATTCTGGCTGGCAGGAAAATGCTCACCTTGCTCGTTTGCACTCCGGTGTCGATAGCCCCAACAACCGCCTGCATCCGACCTCGAGAGAAAGAGCAAAAAAAGTGCTCAAAACATGACCACTGTCAAGAAGGCAACGCTTAAATGCCCAGCCCTGAACTACCCTGCCATTCTCCACAAGGCCAGCACCAAAGCACTTGACCTTGTCGCTCCGCTCCTCGACCCGTGGTTCTGCTCCTCTGGCAATACGGATGGCCACTGCAAAGAAATCACACAGGCAAAAGCAAATAGAGACGGATCCCCTCCCAGTAAAACATTCTGACCAACTTTCCCTCTCAGGTTCCTTTACGCTCACCTCTTACTGCAAAGACCTCCTTCCCATTCTGCTGACGCTTGTCAGCTTGTGCACCACCGGAAAAAAAGCAAATGACAAAGGATGTGCTTAGATTCACCAAAATTACAAGGCGCCACAAGTACCACCTGATTCTTACTGCCAGGAAAATGCTCACCTTGCTCGTCTGCACTCCAGTGTCAATAGCCCCAACCAGCCGCCTGCATCCGACCTCGAGAGAAAGAGCAAAAAAGGTGCTCAAAACATGACCAGTGTCAAGAAGGCCCACATGTGGGGTCTGGTTTCAGGATGGTTGCCAGCAAAGCATCCTGGCAGTTGTAGTTTTTAAGTACTCTAGTCCACATGTGCAGCTGAATGCTTGGATAGGATTGGCTGATTAGGTCACATGTGTGGTGACCTGTCAGCATTTGAAACTTCTCTATAAGCCCTTGTGTCTTCCAATAAAGCCTGGCATTTGTTCCATCCCACATTAGTGTCAGTGTCTGGTCCGTGGGACTGTTTATTTATTATATTATTACAACTGCTTCATTTGGCAGCCAGACAAACCTTGGAATATGAGTAGCAGGAAATTGCTGATCTTGTTCATTTGCCCTCTAGTGCCGGTAGGCCCACCAACCGCCTGCATCCCACCTCGAAAAAAAGAACAAAACACGCTCACAGAATGACCAGTGTCAAAAAGGGCCAGAGAAAACCTTGGATTCTGGCTGGCAGGAAAATGCTGACCTTGCTCGTCTGCACTCCGGTGCCGATAGCCCAAAGCAAGGCTTGCATCCCACCTCGAAACAAAAGAGCAAAAACACACTCACAGAGTGACCACTGACAAGAAGGGCAGAGATAACCTTGGATCATGGCTGGAAGGAAAACGCTCACCTTGCTCGTCTGCCCTCTGGTGCCGATAGCCCCAACAACCGCCTGCATCTTACCTCGAAAGAAAGAGCAAAAAGACGCTCACAAAATGACCACTGAGAAGAAGGGTCAGAGATAACTTTGGATACAGGCTGGCTGGAAAATGCTGACCTTGCTCGTCTGCACTCCGGTGCCGATAGCCCAAACCAGTGCTTGCATCCCACCTTGAAAGAAAGAACAAAAAGAGGTTCACACAATGACCTCTGACAAGAAGTGCCTGGAAGAACTGCAAAGACAGACCCACAAGAATCTTACATGGGGGATATGCTACGCTCTGCCCTGCACACCCTAGTGCTGCCCGTAAAACTCAGCCTCTCCGCTTCCCTCTCCTAAGAAACTTCATCTTAAACATCCCGTTCCCTACACTCATTTCAAAAGCCCTCCCGGCAATTCCCAAGCCTCTACCCGGCTCTCACCCTCTCTCTGCCTCAGAGCCCTCCACTTATCTTGCAGAGAGACAAGCCTGTCAATCCACCTTTCAAAAGCATGTGCCTTCGGCTGCCTCAGGGCTTCCTGTAGTCCCTGGGCTCACACAATGACATCTGACAAGAAGTGCCTCTAAGATCTGCTGAGCCCTCTCTGGCTGGGCTTGGCCTGTCCTGGAGAGCCTCAGGTCTGGTTGGGCTGCCCCAGGCAGACGCTGCAGGAAGAAGAGCCCAGGTTTCCTGTGTCTGCTGTTCCTGGGGCTCAGCCTGTGCCCCATTCCTGCCCAAGGGCTGAGTCCACCTCTGCCTGGGGGCCTTGGGCAAAGGGATGGCGAGGGAGAGGCCCAGGAGCCTTGGGGCCTGCCCAGCTTTCCTCCTCCCTGGGGGCTCCCAGTCCTCGCCTGACACCCTGTTGCCCCCAGGACTTGCTGGCCCCGGGCTCACGGCCCACTGGCACCATCCCACTGGTCTGACCCCCCTCCTTGCCCTCTCTAAAGCCGCTCCTGACTTTTATGGCAAGGCACCATCTAAGGAAAACCCCGGTTATCAGAAATGGCACCTGTGGGATGGCTGCAAGGCTCGAGTCTGCCAGGCAAGAGCAGGAGCACA